TTTTTTTGTCAAAAGTTGGTAAAAAAATATTACTACTGTTCCTTTTTATTATTGCTAAGTAATCTTTAATACATTTTGAAACCATACATACATTTTTTGCGCAAAAGTTATAAAAATATGTAGTGAATATATCTGTAAACTTTGTCCCGAATGAGACTCGGGCTTACACAATTTCTAACTAAAAAACTTACTACAATTTTTTTCATCTATTAGTTGTTATTTGTCATTAGGAATAAATCCCCAAGTTTATGCGTATATATATAGATATTATGGGTTGAGAATCACTCTCATAATATCTAGATATTCTGTTGTTGTTTTTTATAACAACTGTCATGTTTTAATACAGGCTTTAGTTCCATCTATACAGTGTGTTTGATTTTAGTTGTCACCACAGACCATTGTTAGATATATGACAAAATTTTATAGAAGGATAGTTGCTCGATATTATTGAGTACTCTATTAATTGTCATATTAAAAAAAACACAATTGACCAAATGTGTTAGATACAGCAAATACATTCATAATTTTAAATGGAACGTGCTATTTACAACGATATGTCAAACCGATAATTAAGTGGGAAATAGACCTTTACTTACAATTAGATCAGAGTTTTATTGTGACAGTTGAACAGTATTTAAAATGATTGAGTAACTTTCTACGTGATTTACATTATCTACTGTATCTTACGGTATATTATCTACGATAGATAACAGAATATTAAGTGTGAAGCTACGTTCCTTCTATAACATTTTATCATATCTCCAACAGTAATCGAGATATCTGCTAACAGCTAAAATCAAACACTGTATAGATATTTACTAATTCTATCGGGTTAAGATCTGTAAGTAAAGCTCTTATGTGTTGTAAATAGGACATTTTATTCTTCATTGTTTGTTATGATATGGGACATTATCTATTACTAACATGCTGTTTTCTGGAAAATTAGGCAGTAGTTATTAGATCAGTCATTTCTTATAATAGGGCCGTTAAGATCAATCGATTAGAAAGACCGTCTTTCAAAAAATCGTTAATCTAAATTAAATTAGACGGATTAGTAACGTTTTCACGTTCGAAAATTGTTTAATTTTTGCAATAATTAATGTAAAAGTTTAAAATTCCCCACCCCCGTCTCCAGATGACGTTTTTAAGTAAGAGGAAAGAAATCACAGACGTTACGTTCGTTTTGTTCTGTTTTCATCTAGCGCATAAAGATTCGTAGCATTGTCTCTCTCCAGCAGTTTTTTTGATTTTTATACCCTCCAATCGTACGCTCAAATCTCAGTGACGTACTTTGGATTTCGCGCTCTGTAGTTTCAAACTTTATTATTTTCTTTTTGGAAAAATAGCCTCAGAATAAAAAATTAAAGAATATAGGGTCAATTAATTTTAAAGAACTTTCGAATAAGCCAATAAAAAAAATACTTAACGGCTCTATTGTCGAAAGATCAGCGTGCTGGAATTATCATCCAAGTTTTTTTCATGGGGGTAGAACGAATGTAGATATGTTTCATCCATATAAATAAAAGGCCGTACCGCATCTTTATTCTTGTTCATGCCTCAAGAAAATACAACGCAAATTTGCAATCTCCTTCCTTTTCATCAATACCTTCCTATTTGTTTTCGTCTTCCATCAGCAACATCCCATATGAAATACTTACACGAATACTTTTGTTGGGCACTGTATACGACACGCATTCCGTGAAATATGATAGAGAAATAAGTTCCGTAGGTTTCGCCCACTGTTTGCTATGGCGCATCTGGCTTTGCGGCCAAGATGGATTTGCGAAGTTACATTTAAATATAATAGAATTTTTATTTATATGCAGTCGATTCCGCTTAATTGAGACGCATCGGTACCGGGTCATTTTTGCCTAATAGAGCGAAGTACGTCTAAAATAACATAAAATTATTTTCCAAAATATTTTGATTAAATGAATGTAAATATGCAGCATACAAAACAAACTAGTAAAATATGTATATTTTAATTAAAATAATAATAATTGGATATAAACACAAAAAACAACTTTTACAATTTTGCACTTGTACGAAATCCGCACACATAAAGTTTCCTGTTCATCATAACTCAAAACATAGTAAAACTTCATCTATTCTTGAAAATTGTTCACCATTTGTATTCAGTATACAGATTCGTGTAACGCATAATTATTCTTGCCAACGGTGAAGGTTTCGGTACCCCAACGCTTTAAAACCGCATAGTGCAAAGCTGTCAGCAGTAAACTGTATTGCCTGCAGAATGGAAATTTTCGCACTTATCTCTGTAGCTGTTGAAACAAAGATTTTTATTTTTTTGCAGTCACTATAGAGTTCTTTCAGATTTGTGTTTCTTCCAAAACCTTTTATAGTTTAGACTATCTTATCATATATCGTATAGTGGTAGCGACTCTTTTTTCGATAATCTGGTTAAGGACTAATTATATTGTCTATGCACAATCACCTGCGTGGAATCCGCTTTGTTCTTTTGCTTCATATTTTTCATATTCTCGTTCTATTATATCTTTTAAAATCCTTCCATATAATCGACTAAATGTGGCTGTAACTGTTATGCCCCGACAATTCTCGCATTTCTACTTATCCCCGTTTTTATGGATTGATATAGTAATTAATTTATCTGTTCGGTTCTTTACTAATTCAGCGTTAATGTTTTTCGCTCCACTAACCTTCCTCTTCTTTAATCTATTAATTGATTCTCTAAATGTCTAAGCTTCTTTACAACATCTTATATACATGTAGCATTATAGATGACGTCTGCACAGAAATCTTTCAAAAAAGTCTTTCATTATCGGCGCTTCCTTTTTTCACCGCGTCCTTTCTTAAATTTGATGTTGTGTTTTGCTTTCCATGGAAATAACCATCCATCTGTTGCTTTAAATTCGTTGTGTTCTAGTTTTATCGCAATCTCTTCTGATTACACCTTTGCCCACTAAGTACGGAAAACCATTTATCCAACAGACTTTGTGCGATCTTTCTTTTCTGTCCATTTTCACCTAGGTCGTCTTCTTCTAGTAATAGACGAGCTAGAGTAGATTTCGGTATATCAAAAATTTCTCCGATAGACGGGCATATCGCTTTAGCACTGGTTCAATCGAACGTAGAGGCCATAAAAATACAACGATTGATGTCACTACATATTGTACCATGTCTGATAAATTACAATCGGTTTTCTCGACCCAAAAAAATCATTTTGGCGGATCTTTGTCTCGATTAAGCGGAAAGCTGTCCTAATTAATCGATTAAAATATACAGAAATTACATAGGATACCGTTTTTTTTAAATTTGCCCTAAATAAGCGGCTGTTCCGATTAATCGGCGTTCCAATTAATCGGAATCGACTGTATTTATAAATTGCTTAGATTTAAATGAGTCATTTAATACTCCTTAATGCATGCATATTTATGAAAATTAGTATAATACATGGTAAGTCTTAGAAATGTATAAATAATATTTACAAAGTGTTTATAAAATTTTCTTTATATTTATATGATTAATTTTTGTGCTTTTATTTTATTAATTATTGATAACTTTATATTTAAAAGAAGAGTCTATCTAGCAAAGAAACATTAAATCGATAAATTAGATTATTCTGATAAGATTTGAGCCAATATTTTCCAAACTAATTTCAAAAAATATCAATTAAAATTTCATTTTCTTGAATATCATCAAACATTTCAAAACATCCGTGTGCCTGGTTCAAAAAACTCGATTTTTTTCCCGTAAATAACTTCAAAAGGTGCCAAAAAAAAGCAATTTTTCTTGTACATAACCTCAGATATCTCAAAATCCTAACGTCATGGTCCAATTCTGAGCTCGAATTATGAGTTTACGAAAATTGCTGCTGTTTTCATTATCCAGATCCCCAGCTTTTCAATTATTTGCGTTCTCAATCCGCCCATCTTTCACATTTAATGAGGTGTACTCAGCGTCATCTCTTTCATTATAGTACATGTACTGTTTGGCGTAGTATCTTTTGTGCAATATGTTTTAAAATATCTGTGTAAATTAACCAACTGCACCAACTTTATTGAGCTTTACCAGTACAGTGGACTCGCGATAATGTGAACAGAATAAAACTGAGCCTGTTCCACCGAATTTTTTGTCCACCTTAAAGAATGTCTTTTCTTTTATTTAACTAGGTTGAGTTACAGTTCTTGAGACATCTGAGATTTTTAGCTAATTATCTAGGTTGATCTAGCACTGCTAATATTTTAGATTTTTTATTTATCATTGAACAAGCGCTTGATTTTGCAATACCGTGCTTTCTACCTAACGCAGACACACTTACTCCTTTCTTTAATTATCTTAGACTTTTCGTAGAGAGATAAACGTTTACTTTTAATTTTAGCAATTTTTAACAAAACTCACTAGCAGCGATGCTTTCATCTTCACTATCACACAGTAGCTTTTATAACAAGACTTCATCTTGTGTGCCATTCCCTTAGCGTGTATTCTGTTAATACGTTCTTGTGGTGATGCTCCTCTATGACTTCTATAATTTCACAACAATATTAATGTATTAGTTATAGTTAACTGTTTGAGTCTCAAGTTGATTTTGTGTCAAAAAATCCCAGTACATTTCTAGCACTGTGAACAACTGGCGGTGCTGTCAACCACTTAAGGCAAGAGTGGTGAGATTTAGTGGGATTTTTCAATACCCTTTGGTATCCAAACGGTTAAATATAGCTAAACTATACTTTTTTATTCTACATATTTTATTTATTTTTCTGTACCGATTTGAATGCAACGGTATCATCATCATCGGGAAAACATATTACAATATCAAATTTGTGATAAACATAAAGCTACTAATATCTTAAAAATTATCATTATAATTTGTTCAAATACAATCAATATGATTTTTTTTTACAAATTATCAATATTTGGTTAAATAAAAAGTGTTTATTTAAAAATTATATTTTTATACATTTTTATGACTCACCTTGTCTTGTAAAATGCACAAAAAATCTTTTGAGCTGCAAATTTAGATTCCAGATGAAAGGTAAGTACAAGGCGCTGGGACCTCTACTTCAAAAAGTGAACCAGGCGAGTCTCGACCGTCAACGTTGTGAGGTGACGATCAAAACGTTACTGGGCGAACTACAAAAGGCTCGAGATAAACTCCACGTTACGCAACAAAACTACTCCAATCTACTGGTCAAGTTAAAAAAGGCGAAAAACGCAATAGATCGAGGGTTTGTCAATAAAAATATATACATAATAACAATTCAAAATATTCAAACCATTTTAACCACCACAAAAAAATGGGTTCAATGAAGATTTTTTTAGTGCTGCTTTAAGAAAAACGAAAGAAACTTTTGAAACGAAAGTGAAAGTTTTGGAGGAGAATAAAACTTCAACACCGATTAAAAATGTTAATAGTGCCAAAAGTACTGATAAAGTGACTGCAAATGGTGCGGAATTAATAGAAATTGATGTTAGTACGATTAATATAAGCGCTCCCACTGGAAATAGGGAGCAAGTTAATCAGGAAGTTGAAATGGAGATGGAAAAGGAAATTAAAAAAGATCCCGAAGAACATATTAAATATGTATCTCCATTAGATACTAATAATAGGTACTTATGAATCGCTTGATGTTTAAAATATTATAAATGACGTTAACATGTCAAAATTGATATTAAAAATTATTATTTTTAGCGAGCAGGTATATGATCCCTTAATAATGTATTGTCCTTTTGAGTTGTTTGGAGTGTGTAAAGATCCAGAGTGCCAATTTAATCATTGTTCATCCAAGTTGTGAGGTTTAAAGGTTGATTTGTTTTATACAATACTAAAGGTAACAAATAATTACACGAAAAAAGCAAGTTTGTACCTGATTTGTACTTTATTAAAAAAAATAATTGATGTCAGTTTCAGATTTAATATGTGTCTGTGTTTAAAAACGGTAAATGCTCATTTTAATTTTATTTTTCATAAACAAGCCAAAGTAGCAATATTTTTAAGTAAATAAATATTGTAATTAGTATTTGTAAGTAGGCGAAATTAATGTAATTATTTTTTTACTATATTGAAAAATTTAATTATAATTTAAAAAATATCATAATCAAGTGATAGGATATGTTATGCCATCTTTTTTGAAGTCTTAATAAGTTAAAATAAAATTTGTTTAAGTTTATTTGATTGTGGTTTTATTATAATTATGTTCCTAAATTTTATTAACTCTGTTTTTCATCTTATGCTTATTTTTCGTCCTTCGGAGGGGACGTTAAGCCGTCGGTCCCGGTAACCAATCATTCATCTTTGGTTATCGTCAATCACATACATTTGTTGTGTATCTATCGTTATTCTTCTCTTCTTGTGCAATTTGTTTGATCAACGATATTTGCTGGATAAGCATCAGAAGTTTTTTTTTGGATGGAAACCACAACGGAGAAGTTACTATTACAATAAGCTTTTCTTAAAACAATCTCATTATGTTGTTCAAAGTTATTAGATCTTTATTCATGTATGGCTGCGAAACATTCATTGAGATAACGAAAAAAATAGCCCTTTTTTTTAACTAAAGGGTTTGGAAAAATCACTTTCATTAACAGTCACATGATTCAGTTTCATGCTAAATGCCTGAATTATCTAATGCCAAAGAAATAGCGAACGTCAGTTGACTTCGCGCTGCCCTGGTGATTCAGGAATGTGACATGAGACTGGATGATGTGAGCTAGTTTCAGCGTTGAAACCCGTTTTGATGAGATTCGGAATTGGGGTAGTTGAGCACAATTCTCGAAACCTTCACTTATTTATTAACGACATAAACGTATGTGAACCTCTTCAAAGTTATTGGATCTTCATCCACGTATTGCTGCAAAAGATTCACTGAGATAACGAAAAAAATAATCCATACTTTAACTAAAGGAATATTTGGAAAAAGCACTTTTATTAACAGTCCCATAATTCAGTTTCATGCCAAATGCTTGAATTATCTAATGCCAAAAAATTAGCTAATGTCAGTTAAGTTCGCGCTGCCCTGGTGATTCAGGATTGTGATATGAGACTGGATGATGTGAGCTAGTTTCAGCGTTGAAATCCGTTTTGATGAGATTCCGATTTATGTTAATTGAGCACAATTCTCGAAACCTTCACTTATTTATTAACGACATAAATGTATGTGAACCTCTTCAAAGTTATTGGATCTTTATCCACGTATTGCTGCAATAGATTCACTGAGATAATGAAAACAATAATAATTTTTTAACTAAAGGAAAGTTTGGAAACAGCACCTCATTGACAGTCACATAATTCAGTTTCATGCCAAATGCCTGAATTATCCAATGCCAAAGAAATTGCGAACGTCAGTTGACTTCGCGCTGCCCTGGTGATTCAGGAACGTGACATGAGACTGGATGATGCGAGCTAGTTTCAGCGTTGAAACCTGTTTTGATGAGATTCCGATTTGGGCTAATTGAGCACAATTCTCGAAACCTTCACTTATTTATTAACGACATACATATATGTGAACGTCTTCAAAGTTATTGGATTTTTACCCATGTATTGCTGCAAAAGATTCACTGAGATAACGAAAACAATAATAATTTTTTAACTAAAGGAAAGTTTGGAAACAGCACCTCATTGACAGTCACATAATTCAGTTTCATGCCAAATGCCTGAATTATCCAATGCCAAAGAAATTGCGAACGTCAGTTGACTTCGCGCTGCCCTGGTGATTCAGGAACGTGACATGAGACTGGATGATGCGAGCTAGTTTCAGCGTTGAAACTTGTTTTGATGAGATTCCGATTTGGGCTAATTGAGCACAATTCTCGGAACCTTCACTTATTTATTAACGACATAAATGTATGTGAACCTCTTCAAAGTTATTGGATCTTTATCCACGTATTGCTGCAAAAGATTCACTAAGATAACGAAATAACTAAACATTTTTTAACTAAAAGAAAGTTTGGAAACAGCACCTTATTGACAGTCACATAATTCAGTGTCATGCCAAATGCCTGAATTATCTAATGCCAAAGAAATAGCGAACGTCAGTTGACCTCGCGCTGGATGATGCAAGCTATACGCTATATTTAAAAATAAAAAAATGTAAACTTGTAATATGCTGTTAAGTGCGATGTGATTAGTTTCTATAGTAAAGTTTCATCCCAGTAAAAAATGACTTAACTTTGTAATTGAACAAATTATGGCCAATATCTCCTTAGAAGATATAGAATATTTGATTTCATATGGTTTCTAGATTCTAGCAACGAACTGAATTGATTCTTCTTCATTTACCTTTTGTAACAATTCTCCAGCAATAGTATAATCGGATGCATCACATTTCAAGAGAACCTGTATCGAAAAATCGGGTTTAAATAACAAAACTTTATTAATAAAAATCTTCTTAATGTTCTGGAACGCTTCTTTTTCCTCTTTTTTCCATCTCCAAATTAAATTTTTCTTCAGTAACCGTACTAAGGGTAAACTAAGGGGTATAAATCTGTGATAATAATTTAGATGTCCTAAAAATCCTCTCATATCTCTTATTTTTCGTGGTCTCGGAAGATTATTAATCTGAGCTTTAATTCCTTGTTCGTTAAGGCGGAAGGCCACTGTGACGGCCGAAAAAATTAGTGATATTCGGGAATTTTTTTGACCGGGAAAATAAATGAATATCAGGATCGTTTTTTTTATATTATTAAGTGTACATCCAACAATATTTACATAAATTTTTATTAAAAAATATTAAATAGTCTTGTAGATATCAGCGTTGCCGTAGAGCCTGAAAAAAAATTCTCCCTCCATGGTCGCATCGATTTCTCGAAAATGGGTTATCTGAAAAAAAAAAATACCCAACGGTATTATCATCTACATGAATGTAGTTATCGTTGTACGTAGCTGCTTTTTTTTATTTTGATTTTTCACAAAATGGCGACCGATTGAATATTTTTTCATTTTTCGACCGTTTTTTTTTTGTTTTCAAAAAGCTTTAAACATAGTAGGAACTAAATTTTTTTAAATCGGCTACGCTTAACCTCAGGCACTGCAAAGACGAACAAAACAAAACAAAAAAATTCAAAATCGGTTAATAATTGTCCGAGTTATCGATGCGATCAGTTTGAAAAAAATCGGTTCGATAAAAACGTGTTTAAAGTTTTCAGTCCATTTTCTTCTTTATCAAATCGTATCTTTTAAAATTTACATACCTATATTATACTGTCGAGTCCTGGACCATATGACGGTTCTTCCTCTTCATCTCTAGGGGTCTTCAATTTCTTAATTTTTTCATTGACCTTTTCCATGCGATCCTCAGCAGCTTTAATCCGGTTAAAGTTACGGTTGGTGCAGTAAGAATAGAGGGTTGATCCAATTTTGATGCCCAGTAAGTCCATTATTTTTAAGGTTGCCAGTGCACCTTCATTAAATGTTATTGCTGAAATATATAAAGCTGTTTCAACAATAACTGAACAAGTAGAATTAGATTTCGGTGCGATTTGCCACACTAAAGCATTAAAGCTCTCGTTATTATTTTGGGTGAATCCACCAACACATCTTTCTAATAATCGAGAGTCCGAGAGGTCTTAAATAATAAATTGGTAATAATAGTTCGGCAATATCTTCAGGAAGTGGTGGTTTCTCAATAAACGACTCCAAGCTGTTTGTCGATACAGCTTTTTGAAACTTACAACAAGAATCGGCTCCTTCAGGGCAGAGAAAATGTTGGGGATTTTCAGATGACGAGAATTTATGGTAAAACGTTTGCCAAATAGCATTATACATGTCGTCAATATTTGTCACATTGCGACGTATTGCTAAACCATAGTATTTAGTTAACTCATTAATTAATTTATGTGTTAATCGACCTTTCCCACCCAAAGTTTTTCCTGCCGTAGTTCGTTGTTTTTTGATAGCCCTGAGTCGGCTCCCCTTTCTTTTTTGGACATGGTTGGTACATTCTTTTTTAACGATCATTACATCTCCGTATGGTTTTGCATCGCAAATATTTTATACGTTTTTGTATCACCATCTCCAATGTAATTTATATATTTCACGTTATGTAAAGATTCAGATCTTTGAAACATTTCTTTTATTCCTTCGACCTCCATTTGACCCGATGAATTATTGTGATTTATTCTACACACTTCAGAATGCTTCTGTAACCAGTCATCATGTTCAATAGTACCTTTCTTTGGATTCATTTGTGCACATGATTTACAGAAGCTTGATCTCATTGTAACGTCCACAATTTTTCCAGTGTAGTAACCAATTACAGAAGAAATACCAAATAAAGATTTATATCCTCGTTTCTTCCAGCTTCCATCTCCAGATAACGAAATTCCCGGAATAATTTCGGAGTTCAATTGTTTTGAGGTTTCTTCCACTTCTTCTTTTGCAGCTTTGCTCAGAACAATATCGCAACAAGTTTTTGCTGCATCCCTGATCTGTTTCACTACACGATCGTAAAAACTGTGAAACATTGGCCGTGGTAAATCCATGAAGGCACAAAATCTTTGCGCACCGACTAACCCAACACCAATTAGCCTTATAGCAAAGATAAAACGACGATTTATTTCATACGCATTATCAATGAGAGGACATGAATCAATTGAAACTGGATCACATTTTCCACAGTTCACAACAAGCTTGAAACCTAGTCCTCTGACACTTCGTTCAGTAAAATTAATATCTCCACCGCATTTTTTTACACGATATATAATTACTAAGCACTGCAAAAACACTAAAAAAGTTCAAAATTTTATAATTAATATTTAAATTCACATCACATTCAGTGTCTTGCGAAATTTTTCTTTTTGAAGCACTCACACGCCGTTTGGAACCGATATCTTCATTTTTTTCTATTTCGTATCTATTGCGCGGCCGATTAAGTTTTCTCCCGTTTCTGGATGGTCTACTTTTACAGCTTTTATAACTCTTACTACTTTTACGATCCATTTTTTGATACAACACAAAATATTTTTAAAAATAAGTTAAAATCAGAGAAGCCACGTGCGCTCACTAAGAAACTTCAGAAATGACTGTGCGTCTATCGAACTTCTAGGTACGCAAAACGATAGAAAGAGCTATTATATTGTGAACCTTGTACAAACTTGTACAAACTCGCTTTATATAACAAAAGAAATTCGAAGAAAAACCCTATTCTCATTGGGACGCCAAGCGAAAAACGGT